TGAGGCCCGCGTTTAATGCCTGGTCGAGGAGCTAAGATTCCACAAGCCAAGCAGTGTGGCCAAAGAGAAAAGACTTGAGAACAGAAAGAACAAAACATATAACAGAAATATAACTTGTGTATTTGTTCGTCCTTCTACCTTTCTGGAGGATGGAGGGGTACACATCTGCGTTTGGTGTTTTGAGTGCTAAAAGTGGAACTACATGTACTATGCCATAATCTATTTTTTTTAATGCCACAATCTTTTTTTTTTCCATAATCTTTTTAAAAGCTAAGTGTTTAGATTAATCTAAGCCTTCGGATCCTCTGCCATTTCCTTCTTCGGGGATCTTCTCCACCCAGGGATCGAACTCAAGTCTCTTACATCTCCGGCATTGGCAGGCAGGTTCTTTACCACTAGCACCACCTGGGAAGTTTAAGCCATGGGATACTCTTGGAAACCAGAATGCCACCATAAACCATGAGCCCTACTTCAGAGACAAAGACCATTAATGACCAGCCACGACCCCACAAGCATAGCAGGAAGGGCAGTAAGCCGTTCAAGACAAACCACTTAAATCCCTTTTCATGAGCATTTCATGAGCAGAGGCTCCAGCCCAGGTAGGGCTGTCAGCATTAACAAGACACAGGATGCTTAGTTAAATTTGGATTTCAGATAAACAACCACTTTTTAAAAATATAAGTGTGCTAGGCTACATAATGCTCCTCCTTCAGGAGATATCAGATCCTAATCTGCAGAACCTGTGACTATGACCTTGTTTGGGAAAAGGATCTTTGCAGATGTGATTATTAAATTAAGGATCTTGCTTTGAGATTGTCCTGTATCATCTGGGTCCTAAATGCAATCACATGTGTTTTATAAGAGCCAGGCAGAGAGAGATTAAAAATGTGGAAGAGAAGATGATGTAATGATGGAGGCAGAGATGAGGGTGTTATGGATGCCTGCAGCCACCAGCAACTACAAGAAACAAGCAAGGGATTTTCTCCTAGAGGGAACATGGCCCTGCCAACCCTTGCTTTCAGTCCACTGATACTGAGTGTGGACTTCTGGCATCCAAACCTACGAGTGAATAAATACCTGTTGTTTTAAGCCACTAGGTTTGTGGTCATGGGTTGCAGCAGCCACAGGAAACCAATACAATTAAGTATGTCCAATGCAAGATTTGGGACATACTAAAAAAAAAAAAAAATTGTTGTTTATCTGAAATTCAAATTTAACTAGACATCCTGTATTTTACACGGCAATCCTCACTCCCAGGACCAAAGAAAGGGGCTTTTGAATTTGCAAGAAAGCTGGTTGAGGCTGTCAGGAAGTGGACCTCCTTATGCTTGGAGTCTTTGTAAGCACAGTTAAACTGGACCCATTTGAACTTTTACTAACTACCCTCTGGACAAAAGAGGGGGGAGCAATTAGACAGGTGTTAATGATTTATTTTTTCAACAGCCATTTGAGCACTTCCTATAAAACAGAAGCTCTGTGTTTAAGGGTGGAGTTAGCCATTAATCCGGTGCATCTAGACTAAGTTACAAACTTTTCCAGCTACATCACATGACACACGGCCATTAGCAGAGCTCAAGTGATGCTGCAATGTGCTGCTGACACTTGAGCCGCCCCTGGGAATCTTGCACCCTTTCATTGTTGGATGGGTGAGGGGCAGCGCCAAGCAGAACAGCTGGGTAAATCCCAGTTGCTAAAAGAGAGGACTTCACAGACAGACCTGAAATGGAGGGAAGCGGGTTGATGTTGCAGGAACAAGCTGGCTCTGGGTTCCCAGAAAGAGCTCTCAATGGAAGTAGATGAAAAATGTCTACATCAGGCCCTGTGCCCTCACACCCTAACATGAGTTAAAGACACACTGGCCCGTTCTCCCATGCAGAGAGGGCCACCCCAACCAGGCTTGGACATCACTGTTCAGACTCAGGCTCAGGCTCACAGCTGGGCTTCTCCAGCTTACTGTCAGGCTCTTTGAAACCTGGACAGTCCCTGGATCCTCAGGCTTTTAATGATGCTCCGAGAATCCACAGTGTTAGAGCTTCAAGGAGCCTTGGGTCATCCAGAAGAGGCATGGGATCCTAGGATTCCTCAGAATTTCCCCAGATACTTTACCAAAATACCCATGCCTAGGAAAAGAGAAAATATATGGTTTACAGGAGAAAAAAAAAAAGTGGGTGGAATGTAGAGTATGTTAGTCTCTCAGTCATATCTGACTCTTTTGTGACCCCATGGACTATAGCCCACCAGGATCCTCTGTCCTTGGGATTCTCCAGGCAAGAATACTAAAATGGGTTGCTATTCCCTTCTACAGGGGATCTTCCCAAACCCAGGGATTGAACCCAGTTCTGCATTACAGGCAGATTCTTTACCATCTGAGCCACAAACACGAAAAAGATGCTTGACCTGGCCCATAATTAAAGGACTGCTGATAAAACCATAGTGAGATGCCACTGTTACATGGATGAGATGGCCATGATCAGAGGGGTTGGAAAACCATCCCTTCCGGAGAGAAGTGTGACCGTTGATCAGATGTCCTTTGGCAGAGCATCGCTCCTTATAAGAATCTAGTTCTTCTATACAAGCAAAGACTTATATGTGGGGGTTCACTGGGGAATCATCTGTTATGCACAAGTCTGAAAATAGTCTGGATGCAACTGGCTGAATAAACCATGGTCCCTGGAGAAATGCACTGGGTGTGCATTTCTGGCTACTCCCTCAGACACCTTGTTAAGCAGGGAGCAAGGCGGGCATTGTGTGTTACTGTTTGTGTATAAGGTGGGAGGGTGAATGAGTCACCTGTATGGAACCTGACTCTGGGAGGAAAGATGAAAATCAGGCTTTGATGGAAGCCTCTAGGGGGAGAAACTGTGGGTGGGGGCAGGAGACATCATTTTCACTCTATTGTCTTTTATCTTGTGTACACATTACCTTTTTTTTAAAAAGATAAATTTATGGGGACTTCTCTGGCAGTCCAGTGGTTAAGACTCTTGAGCTTCCAACTCAGGGGACGCAGATTCAATTCCTGAACGGGCAACTAAGGTCCCACTTGGAGCTGTGGTGCAGCCAAAAAAAAAAAAAAAAGATAAATTTATATATATGTTCAGGCCCCAGCTCACTTCAAAAGGGTAAGCTCATCCATAAGAAGGTTCTTTCAGAGCCTCCCCAGGTGATGCATGACACCCCCTGGTGGAGAAGCTCTGATCTGGCCTCACCCTCATTTCCCAGAAGGGCAGAAACTCTGTTAGCTGGCCTGCCAGCCTGAGTACTGCATGCATCATACAGGGGAGCCTTCCAGATGAGCTGAAGGAGCAGGACTTAGCAGAAGCACTGTGTGTGTGTATGTGTGTGTGTGTGTGTGTGTGTGTGTGTGTGTGTCCGCGTGAAGTGTATATAAAGTGTGTAATGGAACACAGCACCTTCTAGAATGTTCCCTCGGAAGTAGAGGAAGACAAGGGGAGGTGGGCTCCCGTGTTATGAAAGTGTCTAATCCTTGTGGTTCCTGACAACGCAGAGTGGCCCTGTGAGGTCCCAGGAGTGCCTGGTGGCCTGTGTTCCAAGTGAGACCCCCGAGAACAAGTTCCCTGAGGCCCGGCTATGTGATGGGCCACTTCAAAATGTCAGTCCCCCATCCTTTTATATCAAAAGCAACCTCAGTGCTATTTTTTCTCTCTGTGCTTTAGACAGAAATGATCTCATTTCACCCTCCCAGCCACTCCAGGCTGGGCAGCACTTCCTGTTGAGGAAAGGAAGAAACGGAACCTCAGTCGGGGAGATGGGATGAGGGGTTCCGAGCAAGGGCCGGTCTTTTCCGGAATGACTTCTGTGGTGCAGTCCCCAGAGTTGCTCCAGAATCCCCCCGCACTCCCTGAAGGATGCAAAGCTCAGTCTGAGACCCTGCTCCTTGGGAACGCCTCCCACGCCCCGGGAACGCAAAAGGCAGGGCTGGTCTCTTTCAGACACAGAACTACAGCCAGCCAATCCTCTGAGGGCCTTGCTTCGGCTTTAGTTAGCATGTTGTCCTGTGGTTCTCTCCAGGGAAGCCGTTCGTGGCACCGCCACGGCTAGAATGTAAATCTCCTGACCCCAAGGCCCAAGCACCTCCTACTGTTGGTTAGTGAAGGGTCACTCTGCCTGGCCTGGGGAACCCGGACCTCCCAGAACCACGGAGGTGGAAGAACCCCCAAAGCCCACCAGGCTCCCCCTCCCACCCACCACCCAAACTCCTCCTCTGACTTCCCGACAGAGTCACACCAGCTTTGCTGTGAAGGCCGCTCACGGCCTGATGAGGGGGCTAGGAGGGAGGAGAAAGAAGGGGCTAGAAGAGGACGATGAAAGGGTTGGGAGCAGCCTCCAAGTAGGTGACATTCTGAGAGTGGGTCACCACCTTCCCTTCAGCTGTTCCTTCTCCTGTGGGGACCTCCCTTCCCCCACATCTCCCCGTTTTCTGTGGTTATACTGAGAAAAACCCACAGAGGCTCCAGCACAAGGTGTTCAGTTCAGTCGCTCAGTCATGTCTGACTCTTTGCGACCCCATGAATCGCAGCACGACAGGCCTCCCTGTCCATCACCAACTCCCGGAGTTTACTCAAACTCATGTCCATCAAGTCAGTGATGCCATCCAGCCATCTCATCCTCTGTCGTCCCCTTCTCCTCCTGCCTTCAGCATTGGGCTCTTTCCCAGCATCAGGGTCTTTTCTAATGAGTCAACTTTTCACATGAGGCGGCCAAAGTACTGGAGTTTCAGCTTCAGCATCAGTCCTTCCAATGAACACCCAGGACTGACCTCCTTTAGGATGGACTGGTTGGATCTCCTTGCAGTCCAAGGGACTCTCAAGAGTCTTCTCCAACACCACAGTTCAAAAGCATTAAGGACCACAAATTTGGCATTTTAACAGACACCAGAGCCACTTGAGAAAGAGGTAACAGCCCAGAGATGTGACGTGACCTCCCCAGAGTCACACAGTGAGTTCATGGCAAAGCTGGACTAGCCCAGGTCTCTTTCTTACTCTTGCCCCATCCCGCTTCTCCTCCTGGGCCCCATCTCGCCTCCCTCCTGGGGTTGCGGTGCCCAGAGAAGGACCCTCAGACGCAACTGGCCAGGGGGACAGACCCATGACGGAGGCCTGACAGGGAAGCAACAGTATTTGAGATCCCAGGAAGTGAAGGAGGAGCCTCTCAGATGGTGGAGGCCAGTCTCTGGGACACACAGTCTGGTTTACAGCTCCGTCCCTCTGTAGAAGCTTTCCGGAACATTCCCACTTTCTTCCATAGTGTAAAGACCTCTTCTCCTGCAATCTCCTGCTGCTCTCCTCCTGAGGATCCCTTGTTTCACTGACTTTTCTTTTGTCATGCCATGCAGCATGCGAGATCTTAGTACCCTGACCAGGGATTGAACCCTTGCCCCCTGCAGGGGGAGCTCTGGAGTCTTAACTACTGGACCATCAGGGAAGGTGGTGTTTCAATGATTTTAATGAACCTTTTCACTCCACAGCAAGTATGAGCTTTATTTATTTATTTATTTATTTATTTTTTGCAAGTATGAGCTTTAAAGGGTTACAGGAGCCTGTGTTGACTAAGCAACCCTAAGGCCAGATAGTTACCCCTCAGAAGAGCAAGAGCAGCAGCTAGAGTGGATTATGCCTCGTGACTGGGACTTGTCTTCAAGGAGAAAAATAAAACAAAAACAACAATAAAAAGATACCTCTGGAGGACTGGCTCTGAGTCAAGGTTGTGTCCTTTCACTAGATTGGCCAGGCTGAACTGTCTTCATTCCTTTCAAAATGGTAAGCATATACCCGACTTAAAAAGAAATTCTGGACTTCTCTGGTGGCACAGTGGATAGGAATCCCTCTGCTAACGCAGGGGACACAAGTTCAATCCCTGATCCGGAAAGATTCCTCATGCCTCGGAGCAACTAAGCCCATGGGCCCCAACCACTCAGTCCACATCCTGCAACTACAGAAGCTTGCGGCCCTAGAGCCTCTGCTCCGCAACAAGGGAAGCCGCACAACAGCACCGCGGCAAAGGGTAGCCCCCACTCACCACAATTAGAGAAAGCCTGTATGCAACAACCAAGACCCAGCACAGGAGAGGGTGTGGAAAAAAGGGAACCCTCTTACACTGTTGGTGCGATTAGGACTAGTACAGCCACTATGGAGAACAGTGTGGAGATTCCTTAAAAAACTGGAAATAGAACTGCCATATGACCCAGCAATCTCACTGCTGGGCATACACACCGAGGAAACCAGAATTGAAAGAGACATGTGTACCCCCAGTGTTCATTGTAGCACTGTTTACAATAGCTAGGACATGGAAGCAACCTAGATATCCATTGGCAGAGGAATGGATAAGAAAGTTGTGGTAATATACACAATGGAATATTATTCAGCTGTTAAAAAGAACACATTTGTGTCAGTTTTAATGAGGTAGATGAAACTGGAACCTATTATATGAGTGAAGTAAGTCAGAAAAACACCAATAAAGTATATTAACACATATATATGGTATTTAGAGAAAGATGGTAACGAATACCCTATGTGCAAGACAGCAAAAGAGGCACAGGTATAAAAAACAGACTTTTGGACTCTGGGAGAAGCTGAGGGCGGGATGATTTGAGAAACATGTATTGAAACCTGTAGATTACCATATGTTAAATAGATGACCAGTCCAAGTTCGATGCATGAAACAGGGTACTCAAAGCAGGTGCACTGGGATGACCCAGAGGGATGGGATGGGGAGGGAGGTAGGAGGGGGGTTTGGGATTGGGGGACACATGTACACCCATGGCTGATTCATGTCAATGTACGGCAAAAAGTACCACAATATTGTAAAGTAATTAGACTCCAATTAAATTAGTAAAAAAAGAGACCCAGCGCAGCCAAAAATAAATAAATAAATACATTTTATTTTTTTCAATAAATACATTTAAAAATGCTAATTTTCCTAGAGAACATCCACCATTCTTGGAAGATGCATGGGTGTCCCAAGTGTATCAGCCCCTGCTGCTGAAGTAACAGAAGCAACATTTGTTGTTGGAAAATATCAGTTAAGTTGATGAGGTTTTCCTTGCCCACAGAAATGAAGCAGTTCCCAATAATGGGTGCTTTGTAATGGGAAAGAAGGGCAGAACTGCCAGGTCACTCGGCCCACCTATGGGCTGAGCCGCAGGAGACGCTGGGCGGTCCGATTCCAGAGCCCTTAATTTTTCTATCCCTCTCGGTCATTTCCTCCCTTTCCCGGAGCCCATCTTCCTTTCCAAAATCAGCCCGTCTCACTATTGGCGCAAAAGCCTCCTCAATGGTCCTCTCTTCATGCGCTTACGGGGCCTGTTCTTAGCAGTTCAGTTTTCCCCAAGTGTTGTTCTAATTGTTAGGCCATTACTATGACTTGCTTAAGAAATGGACATGAGATGCAATTTACCCGCCTTGCCCTGCCATCCCTAATTATGGATGAAATGTGATAGGAAGGGTCCAGGCCTTGGAGGAGGGCTGACAGGGGTAGACTTTTGGCTGTTCCCTGCTAGCTGTGTCACCTTGGGTGAGTAGTTCAACCCCTCTGAGCCTGGTTCCTCATATGAAAAGCGTGAATAGCAGCACCTCCCTTCCCGGGCTGCGGTAAGGAGGGGCAGTGGTGTCTATAGAGCACAGAGCACAGTGAGTGCCTGGCCCTTAGCCATGCTGCTGAATGCCTACCGTGCTAGCCAGTCATCACGGTAGACCCGTGCGTTATCATTGTTCAGTTTCTAGGTTGTGTCCGACTCTTTTTGACCCCATGACTGTAGCACATCAGGCTCCTCTGTCCATGGGGATTTTTCAGGCAAGAATACTGGAGTGGGTTGCCATTTCCTTCTCCAGGAGATCTTCCTGGATCAGAGATTGAACCCCTGTCTCCTGCATTGGCAGGCAGATTCTTTACCACTGAGCTACCAGGGAAGCCAGACCCATAGGCAGTGACCTGGAAACGTGCCCAGCTTTGATAAGCTTTTGGAGGGTGGTTGTAGAACTGAATAGGGGTTACAGAAGCCTGTCGCTTTCTACTTTCTGCACTTTTTCTTCCTTAAATTCAGTAGGTCCATATTTCTTTTGTGTGTGTGTCGAGGAATTTTTTAATATTCATAAGTAATGCATGAATAGATTCTCATCACCAATTCAGACAACAACATGAATTACTTTTATCATCAGGGAAAAACATATAAATAACATTTGGAAAAACTTCATCTCATCAACTCCACTTTCCACCCTTCCCATGTCGTGTCTTTGCTGCTCCCTCCACCTGCCAGCGACACTCCCCACTCAAGCCCTGCCTCTCACCCCTCTCCAGCTCCCGCTGGGCCATATACCTCCCTCCACCTGCCCGTGGGGTGCCTCCCCGGAGATGTTTCTTCCTGGGGAAACTGTGTGTCCTCTTACATCCAGCATGCCAGGACTCACAGACCTGGAGGAAGGAGAGGATGCCCTCCTCCCAGGGACTCCTCACCCATCCTGGCCCCTCACCTGCCGCTTCCTGCAGCAGGTAGGGTTCTGCTCACGCTTATTTCCCGTGACTGGACCTGCAGTCAATCTTGTGGGAAACAGTGGGTTCGTCACCAGAGCTGGCTCTCATTCCTCTGCCTGGCTCGTGTTTCTTTCCCCGACTTCTCCCACTGCTGGACTCAACTGGAGACGGTGGGCTTTAAAGCTCCAAAGCATTTAAAGGGGAGCAGAATGGGCCCAGCAGCTCAAAGCCACTAAGCTCCATCTCAGAGACATGCCTGTGTTACTAGGTCTTCATGGGCTGGCCTGCGCACCTGGCTGCCTGAGACAGGAGAACCTTGCACATGAACCGCAGGCAGAGAACACAGGTGCCAGGAATGTGTTCCTGGCCCATGTCCACACCTGCAACACGCCGGGCAGCACTCTGGCTTTGTGCAGATCCTAGGCCTCAGGTTTATGTATTGATTTTATGTGGGAGGAGGGATTTGGCTTTTCCCCCAGTCCTCTGCTCCCCTGCCACCCATCTGGCACTTGAAGCTGTTGAGCAGCTGCCGGACCAGAGCTGACAGCGGCAAGGGCAGCAGAAGAGTGATGACTGATGTCTTCTTGCTTCATCTCATCTCATCATTGTCACCTATTGAATTTGCAGATTCTACCTCCATTTTTTCACCTGGGGAAACTGAGGCTCAGAGCAGCTAGGTAATCTTCCCAAATGGTTCCTCAGCTCTCAGGGGCCACTCTCAGAGCCTTGTCGCCCCGAGGGGCCTCCTTTCCCCAGGTGCGGACTTCCTGCCTGCCTGGCGGCTCCATCATCCTGCCCACTCTTAGGGACTCAGCTCTGGCCCCTGACCCTCCCCTGTCCCACAGGGACACCAGACTGGAGCGCTCTGGCAAAGTAAGGTGTGGCTGCCCAGTGCCGGGGTTCCCACAGACACGCCCTCCTCATTCTCCCACCAGCTCACGGGGGACACATCTGAAGTCGCCAAAATGGCAGGGCTGGCTCTCCAGGAACGCTAGCGGCAAAACTGAGCGGTTCTGTTAACAGCTGACTGGCGACAAGGAGCCTTCATCCTGTCCTGCACCTGGCACACCCCGGGTACTTAATAATAATTAAAGTCATAATGAACGTCAGAAAAGCCAGCATGTGGTAAATGTATGCATCTTTGCACAATTGTTATACAGCATAATGAGCAAGCCATTAATGGTTAATCAGGAATAAAAATGAATGTGAGAAACATCTGATTGCAGAGATTTTTTTTACTCCTTCCTTCCCTCCCCAGATTTTTAAATGAAAGTTTAGGGATCATTTCCCTTCAATTGTCCTTGTAGTAGCATTTATCATGAAAAGAACTGGGATGAAAATCTTTATGCACTTCTCCAATGTAGATCTGGGCAGAAATTTGGAGTGTTCCTCACTGGTCAGGGATGATAACAGAGCAGGCCAGGGGAAGTTTTTTGGAATGGGCAGTCAACATCCCTTGCAGAAAATTTCTTTTCCTGGGACCCAGATCCCATGATCTGGCAGCCATCTTGAGGGCGTGTCCTATAAGATCACAGGGGGTCAGAGCACCTCACAGCCCATACAGGCTGCAGCCCCTCTTTGCCTTAACCACCCCATCAGGGACTTCCCTGCTGGTCCAGCA